GAGTCGTCCTTGCCCGGCCCCCTCCAGTTCTGCCAACACCATGTTTGAGATGGAGTGGCGTGGCCGGCGGGCGGCACTCAAGGCTAGCAACGGGCGCTATGTGTGCATGAAGAAGAATGGACAGCTGGCTGCCATCAGCGACTTCGTGGGTGAGAAGCACTCCCTGCCCACCTGGGGGGCTGGGGTCCTCGTCCCATGACAGGGCCTGCTCAGAGACCCTGATCTCCACCCCCGGCCACCTGAACGTTGTGTGCGGCAGCGGTCTCACTTGCCAGGCCAGGCGATGGCTCTTGGAATCAGGGGGCAACTAGACCCCAGGGACATCCCTGTCTCCCCTCACACTGGGGAACCAGGCTTAGGCGCAGTGGCCTCACCACCTGGCCCAAGGTCACTGGTAAGCAAAGTGGCAGCTCTGGGTCTTCATGCCCAGCAGTGGGGTCAGGGCCTATGGCTCCTCCTGGGAGCCCTGTCTCCGCCTCACTGCCGGGCCCCGAAGTGGCCCCAGCAGCGTGCTGTCTGGTGGCGTCACCAGCCTTAGCGTTAGCCAGTGCTGTAACTCATGGTGTCTCCCCACCATGGATCTCCTGCTGTACCAGACCATACAGAATCCTTAGCACTGTTTTTTGTACTGTTACCTGTAAATTGGAATTCCCCTATATCACTCCTTCTTTTCCTTTAATTACTACTTCACTCTCAAAAAAAGTTATTGACGTAGGTTCACAAATACTTGAGTCAATTCCGACTCATAGCAACCTACATACAGCAGAATGGAACCCTGCCTGGTCCCGAGTCATCCTCACAATCCTTGCTATGCTTGAGCTCACTGTTGCAGCCACTGTGTCAGTCCATCTCGCTAAGGGTGTTCCTCTTCTTCTCCAGGGACTGGTCCCACAAATAAGAATTACCACAGTATTGTAGCTAAAACACCAGACAGTCTGACAAAATTACTGACTATAAAAACACCTGCGTGCGCTTAGACTGCATGCAGATGAAACCACATGATCCGAAGCATCACTGTAATTGTGTAATAACAGCACCTCTGACAAGAGCACATTAGAAGGTTCAGAGACTAGGTCTCCCCCCCTCCCCATTGCTGTGTGGGGAAGCGGTCACCCTTGTGTCAGGCCAGGCAATGGCTCTTGAAAGCAGGGGGAAGCTAGAGTTTTTGCCTTATAGATATATTGATACATGTCAGCTGGGTTTACAGATAATGTTTTTGTTGTTTGAACTAACTACGGGGATATTTTTATACAAAATAATAAATTTCTGCTGAAACGCTGCACAAACATTTTATAGACAGTCATTTTGGTGTCACTCCTCTGACAGTGTCACTGGGTGGGGTTCACACCCTCCTAGTGACACCACTGCCCTGCTCGCCCCCCGCCCAGGCGAGGACGAGGAGTTCATCCTCAAGCTCATCAACCGGCCCATCCTGGTGCTGCGAGGCCTGGACGGCTTCATCTGCCACCGCCGCGGCTCCAACCAGCTGGACACCAACCGCTCGGTCTACGACGTCTTCTACCTGAGCTTCAGCGACGGCGCCTACCAGATCCGAGGTGCGGGCGGTTGGGGATGCGGGCAGGTGGGTTGACGTGCCGGGTGACGATCGGAGCTGGGGACCGGCAGGTTGGGGCTGTGGGGTCCGGCCGCAGGGCCCCGCCGACGCCCCGGTCCCGCCCTGCCCGCAGGCCGCGCCGGCGGGTTCTGGAACACGGGCAGCCACGGCAGCGTGCGCAGCGACGGCGAGCGCGCAGAGGACTTTCTCTTCGAGTTCCGCGAGCGCGGCCGCCTGGCCATCCGCGCCCGGAGCGGCAAGTACCTGCGCGGCGGCGCCTCGGGACTGCTGCGCGCCGACGCCGACGCGCCGGCCGGGGTGGCGCTCTGGGAGTACTGAGGCCGCTGGTCGCGCCCCCACCGCCCATTAAACCGTGTCTGTGTCGCAGCTGCTCGTGGGCTCCATGGCGCCGCTGGGAGCGGGGCCGGTCTGCGTGACTCCGCGCGGAGCCCTCCCCGGGAAGCACCTCCAGGAACCCCGAGGAAGGGCATGGGGGACGTCCAGCCAGACCACCCCCGACCAGGACAGCCACTACCCTGGGCCTCCCCTCGCGCCACCCCTTGGCTCACAGTCCCTCACCGAGGCGGAGGAGGAAGGCCCCCGCCGAGCCAGCGGGGCAGCTCCGAGGAGCTTGATGAGGCCCAGGCCGGCCGGGCCAAGCCCATGGAGGGTCCTCGGGGTCAGCATGTTCTCTGGAGCTGCTTCCCTCCCCCAGGGGCAGGGTCTTAGGGACAGCTGGAGGTGCCGGATGGAGACCATTCCCTCCTCCTCCTGCCAGCGTGGCCTGGTCTCTGGGAGAGGGCCCTTCCCAGCTCACACCCCGAGCCCTGGCGCCCGTGGGGTACCCATGTCCTCCTCGCCGGCCCTGCCTATTGGCTGGGGCCAGGTAGACAGCAGCACCCTGTTGGTGCCTGGATGGAGGGGTCCCACAGCTTTCCATCTCACCTCCCCAAACTAGCCAGCACCAGGACCCCCGAGCAGGCGGACGCCTGGTGGAGGCGCAGGTGACCCATGCCTCTAGAGATACGAACTGCTGGCCCTGAGGTCGGAGCAGAGGGGTCAGCCTGGGCACGAACACAGGCGACGTCTCCCGAGCCAGGAGCCTGACCCCGCCCCCCCCCCGTGGGCCCCACCCCTCCGCTATGCTCCGAAGGCAGGTGGGCCGGGGTGGGGGGATCACCCAGGAATGGGAATGTTTTAGGAAAGGAAGAGGTGTGTGCGTATTAGGGTACAGAGCAAGTCCTGGAGGTGGGGACGGGTGCTCACGGCCGGGGAGGAGAGAACGAGCGGCGAAGCATCCTGGCGTGAGGCCGGGAGATCAGCTGGGACGCGGCCCCGGCAGCCCCCAGGATGCCCTAGAGACCCGCGGATAGCCCTGACATACCCACCAACCTCCCGCGCAGGGACAAGAAAAAGGCCGGGCCTCTTAGCGGCTGGCGCTTGCTCTCCCCTCTTTTTCCGACCCGAGAGCGTCGGGGGTCACTTGCGGGGAGCGCAATCCCGGCGGCCTCTGCCCGCCCTGAGTCGCGCTGCGCTGCCCCCTTGTGGCGGCCGCCGCTCGCCCATCCGGGTGGGCGGGGCGTCACGAGGGGCCGGCGGGCTGGCGCCCCTCGCGGCTCCCTGACTTGCGGGGTCTCAAGGACAGGGTCTCACTGACCCTGGCTAGACAGTGTCCTTGGCCTCGGACACTTGAATAGACCGGGAACCCTGGTCGCCTCCACAACACCAGGCCTGGAGTGCGGCCGGTATGGAAGATGTGGGGGTGTGCTTGCCCCCCACGACGCCCCCTATTCTGTGGAAAGGGTGGGGTGGGGGACGCCCCTCTCCTCCAAGCCCAGGCAGGTGTAAAGGTGCAGAGAGGGCTCTTTGTGGGGAAGGGTTGTGGTGGGCACACGGGGACAGACAGGAAGCCCTGTGTCTTTGGGGACAGCACCCAGGGATGCGTCTTCTGGCTCACAGACCCTGTGCCTTGCTGGCCCCCATGGGGGCCCAAGTGGATGAGCTCTGTGGGTGGCTGGGGACCCCATGTGGTCCGTGCTGGTGAGCGAGGTGGGCCTGCAGGTCAGAAGCCACCTGGGGGCCGGAGTGAAGACAGACAGGTTCCTGAAGGAGACCCGGCCGTGAAGCACCTCTGGATGGGGGGGGGGAACTGTCCTCCCTGGTGACCGTCAACAGCAGGACAGGCCGAGCTCGAGGGGCCCTGTCCACGCAGCACCCCAGGCACTGAGAACTCCTGCAGGGGTCAGCTACTCCCGATGCAGCGGAGTGCAAGGGGGTTGGCCCCAAGTGACTCCGGGAGGCCTGGGGGACAGTGGCGGAGGTGAAAGAACCAGTCAGGCCCGGAGGCGCTCAACAGAGGGGCCCATGTAGCGGCAAAACACGCCGGAGGGTGGTGCTTACAGCAGGGGACTGGCCAGCAGAGACCCACAGAGGCCCATCCCTCCGGGCCCCAGAAACAATAAAACCCCGGCACCAGAAGAGGAGGAAGGGCTGGGCCAGGGGCATCCCCAGGCCACAGTCCCCACCCCCGGCGGCCCTGCGGTGCCCCTGCACAGTGCTGGGTGCTGGGGACCAGCCCTGAGAGGCACCTGGTCACGGAGCAGGCAAGGTGAGCCGGGGTGGCCCGGAGCCCGCTGGCTGGAACTGGGCACTCTGGGAACACCCCAACCTGATCTTTGTGCTTCAGTCACAGGAGCACCTCCCGGGGACCCCAGGAGCCGCAGAGAGCCGGGCTGTGGCCCAAGGGAGGCCGTGGGCAGGGGCAGACAGTGTGGGAAGTCCTGCAGGCCAGAGCAGCAGTGACGAGGACAAGTCACAACCACCCTGCCTCTCCTGGCCTCCGAGGCCAAGCCTCCACAATGTTGTGAAGGGGAGGTTGTGATTCAGCACCAATCCTGGGGGTGACGACAGCAGAGAGGTGGTCCTGTGCGGTGGCAGCTGCTGGTAGGAAGGGAGGGTGATGGGGTGCCGACAAGCCAAGGGGAAGGGTTCCCTTCGCACGGCACTCTCTAGCCACGACCGCAGCCTAAAGCAGAAGCACACCACCAGGCGGGCAGGTGGGGTCCTGTGGACGGTGAGGACCATGTGGGTGGGGGGCGGGAAGCCCTGTGGACAGCAAGGCCACGTGTGGGGGCAGGCCCCAGTGGATGGTGAGGGCCACGTGGAGGGGCGGGCCCTGTGGACTATGAGGGCCACGTGGAAGGGCGGGCCCCAGTGGACGGTGAGGGCCACGTGGAAGGGCGGGCCCCTGTGGATGGTGAGGGCTATGCTCTGCTGTGCAGAGATGACAGGCAAAGACACCTGAGTGCAGCTCACAGCAGGGCCAGCACGGGAGCCAGGAAGGCAGCCTTTCTGTTCTGGCTCTTTCTCTGCAAAGCCCCTGGGGCACTGCCCACTGCTAAGGACCAAGGCGGGCCCCAGGGGTGTGGGCGGGGCACACCTGTGGTCACAGCAGGACGAGGCTGGGGCTGCGCAGCTGCTGGTACACCTGCAGGAGCTGCTCGGCGGTGGTGCGGGAGCTGGCCTCATCCTCCAGGGACAGCCGGTCACGCAGGGCCTGCACCTCCCTCAGCAGCGCCTGAGGTGGGCGGGGGGGAGGTGAGGGCACGCTGCCGCGGCTGCACCTCCACTGGGGATGCCCCATGTGCAAATCCTGCTGGAGACTTGGTGGGGGCCAGGGAGGGACCCTCATCTATGACCTTAAAGTGTGTCAAGTCCAGTGGGGGACACAGGCCCGACCCCAGGAGCTGGGAGGGGTAGGCTGACCAGGAGACAACGCCCCCAGATGGCAGGAGAATACAGACAAGGTAGGACAGGCGGGTATGTGAGGCGGGGACAAAGTGGCAGGAGTGGGGTGCCCCTGAGGTGCCTCTGACCACTGCTGGGGGTCCCACAAGTCATGGTGGGGAGGAGGCCACACTCCCTTCTTGCTGGCCTGGCCCTGCTGGCGGGGGCCCTGTCCTGCCCCTCGTGCCATCCTTGGGTCACAGGAGCCGAGCCAACCCATCTGTCATGTGAGGACTGGGCAGGCCCTGGCCCTGCTGGCCCCAAGTGCCAGTGTGCACTGTGCCTGGAGGTGGCTGGGGTGGCCCTGGGGTCCTCCCTGCCCGGTGGGCGGGGCCCTGGCAGCACTCACCTCGTGGTTGGTATGCATCTGGCGTAGGCACTGCACGCGCAGGTCGGGTGGGCTGGAGCCCCGGGCAGCCCGCTCCACCACCATTGTCTGGGGACACAAAGGGCATGAGGAAGGCAAGAGAGGCTCCTGGCATCTGCCCCATACCCCTCGCAGAGGAGGGACCCCTTCCTGGGGTTTCCTTCCCACCCTGCCCCCCACCACTGCTGTTTCAAAACTCCTGGGGTTCAAGCCTCCTCCCTTCCTGTCCTTGGCTTCAGGCTGATGCTCACTGCTCCTGCCCTGGCCAGTTCCTGACTCCGGTGGCCCTGACACCCCTTTGTTCACCTACTCGACTCGGCCCAGCCTGGGGCCCTTGCTCCCAGCTGCAGTCACGCCCTCACTGGGGCTGCAGGGGCTGGCATCTCGGGATGACTCAGAGACCACATCATGCCAGCACGCTCCTCCCCGAGGCCCTGGCTTTCCGCTCACCCACCTCTCAGGCAGCCCTGGCCCCACATATGAAACACCTCTTCTCTGGGGGAACAGCTCTCAGACATGGGGTCTCTGGTGGGCAGCACCTTCCCTGACAGGCAGCCCTGAGACCACCCACCAGTTGAGACCCGGGGGCTGGATCCCCGGCCTGGGTGTGAGCCGCGGGCTGCACTGTGTGCCGCCCTGGTCCCTGGGGCCGCCGCCCTGCATCCTGAGACAGCACCCGCACACAGCCTGCAGCCGCCGCCTGCTCTGGGCTGCCCTAGGCCAGTGCACGGGCACGTGGGCACACCTGAAGAAGGGCTGCGCTGGACAGACAGCAGGTTCTCAGGCTGAGGGTGCCTGGCGGGGCCCAGGGTCGTGGGCTAACAGCAGCTTCTCCAGAACCCACTGCAAAGGCCGAGGCCGCATCCCGTCGGAGAGCAGGTGGGGCACCAAACTGATTTTAACCTGCTGTTGTTAAAGGCCGCCCAGTCGATGACGACTCACAGTGACGCCACGGACAACAGAACGGAACACTGCCCAGTCCTGCGCCATTTTCAGTCATTGTGCTGCAGCCCCTTGTTGCAGCCACTGTGTCAGCTCGTCTCGTGGAGGGTCTTCCTCTTTTTCGCCGACCCTCTCCTTTACCAAGCATGATGTCCTTCTCCAGGAACTGGTCCCTCCTGATGACGCGTCCAAAGTATTTAAGACGTAATCTTCCCATCTTTGCTCCTAAAGAGCATTCTAGCTGTACTTCTTCCAAGACAGATTTGTTGATTCTTCTGGCAGTCCACGGTATATTCAGTGTTCCTCACCAGCACCGTAATTCAAAAGCGTCAATTCTTCTTTCGTTTTTCTTATTCTCTGCCAGCTTTTGCAGGCATGTGACCAAAAGTTGCTGTCGAGTCGATTCCAACTCGCAGCGACCCTGTAGGGCAGAGCAGGCCTGCCCCATAGGGTTTCCAAGGCTGTAATCTTTATGCAAGCAGATTGCCACAGCTTTCTCCTGCGAAGTGGCTGGTGGGTTTGAACTGCTGACTTTTTGGTTAGCAGACGAGCACTCAACCACTGTGCCACCAGGGCTCCCACACCATATGAGGCGACTGAAAATACCATGGCTTGGGTCAGGCGCACCTTAGTCTTCAAAGCGACATCTTAGCTTCTTGACACTTTAAAAAGATCTTTTACTGCAAATTTGCCCAATGCAACACGTTCTTTGATTTTCTGACTGCTGCTTCCATGGGTGTTGATTCTGGATATAAGTACAATGAGATCCTAGAGCTTTTTATCTAGCACTCTGGTGTTCCTCGCCCAGCACAGCACTCACAGCAGCCCACTCCTGGCCCTGCAGAGGGGGCCCCTCTCGCCTAGGAGCTGGGCACAGGCCGGCCACTTCCTGGCAAAGGCAGGAGGCTCAGAGCCAGGGGTGCCACGTCCCAGGACCTGCAGCCGGGCCTGACTCAGGACACGATCTCCAGCTGGCCAGAGAAGGCACAGAAACCAACCACTGATCATGGAAGGGAGTGAAGCCGCCACCCAGGCTCACCTGGCCCTTGCAGCCACGGGTGCCTCTGCAGGGCAGACAAGTATCTGCTGGCTGGGGAGCAGCAGCAGGCCCACCCGCTTGGAGCTCAGCTCCAGACAGGTGCGTGTGGAAGCAGAGAGGAGCTGGACAAGGGTCTCCTGCACCTGAGCATGGCGGCTGCCAGCGGGAAGCCCACCTGACGCCACCTACCTGGATCCGGCCGATGACTGCGTGGTGTGTCCGGCACACGTCAGCCAGGGAGGCGCTCTCCACCTGGATCTCCATGGCCTGGATGGGGCCCGCAGGGCACAGGTCTGTCAAGGCCACCTGCAACGCAGGCGGGAGGCTCATAGCTGTCCCCGCCCTCAAGACGTGGTGCAGAAGGGCCTCAGGCCTGAGCTCCACACAACACCAGTCCCACCTGGGCTGGCCAGAAACCGCGGGAAGAGGTCTGCCCACTCTGAACCATGCCTAGGGAGACCCCTGCCCCTCAGAGGCCACCCAAGGACTCAGGACTGACACCAGGGCTAGCAGCAGATCCACTGCCCACCCCGGGAATGAAGTGGCCGCTGGCACCACGTCTCCTTGGAGACCCTGCCCCACGTGCACCACGGGTCCCCTTGGATGCAGAGCCAGGCCAGGGTGAGCACAGGAAGCCGGCCGTGACCAGCAGGTGCTGCCTTAGGGGTCTGCCTTCAAGGCAGGGTCCAGCAGGGACAAGCCAAGAGCCAGGACATTCCGGCTGGCCCTCCCTTGGCAGTGCCTCCTTCTAGAATACTGGGACGTGCATGCCCCACCTGTTCGCAGGGCCAGGTCCCAGCACTATGGGCCAGGGACACCCCAATCCTAGATGCCAGCCTGGCCTGGCCCAGCAGGCCTCCCCTGGGAAGGTCCTAGCAGCCCGGCTACTCTGGAAGAGCTTGGTCGGTGCACCTGAGGGCTGCTGGATGTGGGCCTGCAGCCGGCTGGAGGGACAAAGGCCTATGTGAGGAGGGAGCAATGAGGGAGGGCTGGGGACTGGCAGCCCCCCACGTTGGTAGCAGGTGGCTTTCTCTGAGGAGACCCGGGTATGTGGCTTCTGATGGGATCTGGGGGCCTTGCAGGGGAGACCATGGCATCTCCTGGGGCTGCAGGCACAGACCCTGAGGGTACAGTACTGGGCACAGGGCTGCCTCCCAGCCATGCCTGTCAGCGTCTCTGGCTCTGCAGATGCAGCCAAGGTTCCTGGGGGACGGGGAGGACAGCGTGGACCCCATCAGAGAACACTGCAGAGCGTCCCGCCCTCACAAAAACTCTGCGCACTAGGCCATCACTTCCGCCCCCGGCCCCGCAGCAGCCGTCCCAGCCCGGGGAGCACGCGGAGAGGCCCGGATCAGAACGCGCCCCAGCGTCGGGTGGGATGGCACTGCCGATGGCTTTCTTCATGCTCCAGGATGCTACCTCTGCAGGCCCAGGGACCCGGTGTAACCCGCTGGACCCCGGAGCAGGTAGGCAGACCCCTGCTTGCCTCGTGGACGCTGAGGCGGATGTCAGCACCGTCGGGGGCCACACCCTGCACAGATGACAACGCTCGGGCCCTCACGACGTCCACGACAGCGTTCTCGGCCAGCAGCCACTGCAGAGTGGCACAGCACAGGGGCACGCCTGCAGGAAGTGCCTGTCAGCCTCGGCAGGCGCTGCCCGCAGGCCCCCCGGCGGGAGAGCATCCAGCTGCCCCACAGCAAGGTGCTCGGCGACTGGCCCGGAGGAGGGGGCACCTGAGGCCCCAGGACACGTCTGCTCCTGTACAGGGTCGCGTTTCAACACGTGGATTTCGGAGAGCACTGCAGAGCAGGGTGATGGCAGAGAGCCCCCAGGGACCGGGACGCGTCTGCCCAGAAGGGCCCAGAGGGCTCAAGGGAGGGGAGGGGTGCCATGTTCGGGCTTCAGGCTTCCTCTGGGCCCGGGTGGGTGACTCACCCGTGTACACGTTCTCCAGAGCAGCCCTCAGCAGCTCCACTGACACCCGGGCGGAGGCCACGGACGGGGGCAGGTACTTGGCCCGAAGGGCAGTGGGTCCCACCGGCTCACTGCCCTGCTCGCGACAGGCTCCCAGGAAGGTATCCACAGGGTCGGCGGTGGGTGCAGTGGGGCGGGTGGCCTGCGTGCCGGGCGCGGCCAGGCCGGGGAAGCGGAGGCACTGTAGCAAATCCACGGTGTGCTCACCCAGGGGCAGGCAGATGCCGTCCCGTGTGGGCAGCAGGTCCGGGGGGCATGCCTTGCAGTGGGGGTCCTCCGTGGAGCCCGGGGGGGCAAGCGCCCCCCGCACGACTTCCCTAACACTGTAGAAGAGCGCGCAGGAGACGGTCACAGGCAGCTCGGGCGTGCCATCCTCGCCGGAGCCCAGGGACAGCGTCACCTCGCGCCAGGCGCCAGGGGCCAGTTGGTGTACGGGGACCGTGTAGGTGGTGGTGGTGCCGGCCGTGTCCAGCTCAAAGGCGTGGGCACTGGAAAGCACCTGGAGGCACCAGGTCCAGCCGGGGCCAAGGCTGTGTGCACCGCGGTTCTCCAGCCGGCAGGTGGCCGTCAGCTCCTCGCGCAGGCCCTGGCGGCTCCAGGTGATGGTGGTACTGCACGCGATGGGCTTGGGGCTGCCCTGGCGGGAGAGCAAGGCGCAGCTCACGTCCAGGGCCTCATGGAGGCACATCAAGGCCTGGTTCCGCTGGTCGACTGCCTTCTTCAGAGAGAACACCCTGGGGAAGAGCAGGTCCGCATTGAAGGGCGAGGAACCCACCAGGGCCGGGGGCGGGGGGCAGCAACTGTCCACGATAGTACGCCAACCCCGGGGGCAGCCCTCTCCAGGCAGCAGAGGGCATGGGACCGAGGCTCAGGGCTGCCTCTGGTGGGCTGCCATCATGTCACCTACCCCACACCCCCGCCATGCCCGACCGGCCCCTTTCCCCTTCACGGCGCTCTGCAGGGTAGCCAGGAGGCCCAGGCACCTGGAAAATGGGCTGAACCACATGGGACCTGGAGCTTCGGGCCCCTCGCTCTCAGGACCAGAGGACAGGCGAGGGGCAGCAGCCCGCAGAGACCAGAGACACTTTCTCTCCACGTGTCCCGTGGCCACACCCAGGCGGTGATGCCGAGAGGGGCAGAGGCCTCGCCCGTGAAAGGGGTGGGGTCCGTCTTCCCTGCTCCCCGATGAGTCGGCTGAACTTGGTGGGCCGTTCCCCAAGCAGAGCAGTGTCGGGCCCCCAATGGGGACCAGAGGCAGAGCTGCAGCCTGGACACGGAGCTGAGTCGCCAGCAGGGTGCCAGCCTCCACCAGGGCCCGCCAGCTGCTCACCTCTCGGAGATGCTGCCGATGCCTGAGAGCAGGTCCCTGATCTTCTGGCCGGCTTGAGCTGCTGTCATCCTGGCTGGGCAGGCTGCCACGGGGTCCCGGGCCAGGTGGCAGGCCATCAAGCGGCCTCTGGCAGACAGGACCAGGAGCTCGGTGTCCTCTGAGGGGGAATGGGAGGGGCTGGTCAGCAAGCAGGGAGGCAAGGACAGCGTGTTGGCAAAGGGCCAAACCCAGTCAGTGAGGAAGGGCAGACCCCCGGGAGGGCGGGCTGCCAGACGCCCTGGGCAGAGACTCTGCAGGCCATCTCCTGCAAGTCCCCACAGCCCCGCTCACAGCATGGTGGCACACCATGACGGCACCAAGCTCCTCATACAGGGCAGGAGGAAAAAGGCAGAAGACGCCCCACTTCTGGTGGGCCCTACATCTTGGCGCCTCACAGAACTGACCTTTCCAGGGGTGTGGCTCCCAGGCGCCCTGGTGCTGAGCCCTACTGGACCCTTGCTCTCCCTGGGCCTTTCTGGAAGCCTGCCTGCCTCCTTTTCCAGATCTGAGACTACGAGGAAGCTCTCCAGGAAACACGAGCTTGCTTTCCCAACCTCGACCCCTTCAGGCCCTCATCGGACAGAGCCAGGCAGATGCTTGTCCTGGCCCTGAGACGCTGCCACCACTGGCCCTAAAGCCCTGCTTCCAGCCATCGGCTCACACAGCCCGGCCGACTCCAGCCACCTCACCTCCACTCCCGCCCTCCTGTGACAGCCCGGCTTCTCCCACCCAGCCTCTCACAGGTGCACTCACAGCCATTTGAGCGGGGAATACATCGGGGCAGGAAGCTCCATTCCTTCTTTCCCCCAGCACTGTATGGCTGAACCCCTCTGGCTTCGTCCAGGAAGCCCCAGCCCAGGTGGGGTGCACGCTTCTCCCGTCCCAACCCCCAGCCGGACACAGACTGTTCGGCAGATGCTACCCACGACCTAATGGGGCTGGAGCCAAGGCGCTGAGCTGGCAGGTCTCAGATGTAGGGGGAGGGCAAGGCGGGAGCAGACCATGCCCGTCCTCAGCAGAGCAGCAGCCAGAGGGCTCCTGGGCGAGGTCTGCGGTCTAGCTGGCGGTGCATACCTTCGGGAGCCCCAGGCGACACAGAGAGGGCCACAATGCTGCAGATACTCAGGCTGGCCGGACACAGCAGTGGGGGCAGGCCAGACTGCGTGCGGTCCTCGGGGGCAATGCCCTGGGCCAGGTCCACCACACAGAGGTCCGAGGGGGTGCCGTGGTAGACGTGGCCGCCCCCGCCACAAGCAGCACACAGGATGGGCCCTGGCAGGCGGTACTCCCGCAGCTCAGGCACCAGATTCCCCGCCTCGTCCCGGCTGGCCTTGATGGCCAGCATCCGGCCATGGTGGCCAAGGGCCACCACGCAGTTGGCGTGTGTGTCCTCACCCAGCAGCCCCTGCCCCACAGCCTCCTGGGCCTGAGGCTCCGTTCTCAAGGCCCCTATGAAGACGACGGGCTCTTCCAGGTGGTGGAGGATCCTGACCAGGGCCCTCGGGTCCCCTGGGGCTTCCCGCAAGTTGACCAGGGTCTTGAGGACCATACAGCAGAGCTGGCCATCGGGGAGGCCGCAGAGGACCACGGGCGACTCCAGGAGGGCAGCATCGGCCCCGAAGAGCAGACCAAAGAGGGCGCTCTGCAGAGTGAAGCCCCCAGGGCCCGGGAGGTGGCTTTGAGGGGCCCTGGAGTTGGGCGGGGACACACAGCAGAGCACCGGGAGGAAGTGCATGGCTGGGGGCTCCCCAGGGTCCCGAGCTGAGGGTGGGCCAGCGGGGAACACCACCTCGCCGATCTGAGCTCCTGGCCTGGGGTCCGGCCCTGGGCAGGGCCGCTCAAACAGCTGCATCTTCCACGTAGCTGTGCCCTGTGCCATGGTGACAAGCAAGTCGTCGAGCAGGGTGAAAGCACAAAGTGTAGCATCAGGGAAGAGGCAGGCATCTGGGCCCACGGCAGTGACACCGGGAGGGAGCTCGTCATCTTCGATGGTGCCCCCGGCGTGGCTCACAGACCTTCAAGGACAAGAGAACCTCAGTCAGGACGAGCAGGGGAAGGTCCACATGTTCCCTCAGCAACAGCTGCCATGGGCACGTTGGATCTGGGGTCTTCACAGGGCGCCCTCTCCAGGGTCCCTGCAGTGACATCATCACAGCCCCTCAAAGGAGCCAACCCCCAGCTGGACACCACACTGCCTCCCACCTGCCTAGCACCAGCTGCCAGACACATGAGGCAGGAAGACCAGGTGGGTAAGTTCCAGAAACAGGGTTTGGAGAGGAAGTTCTCAGTGCAGAGAACTGTCTGACCCAGAGCCCATGTGTAACGTGCATGTGCTACCTTTTTACGTCAAAGCCAGGTATGCTGCCCAGCTCTGCACTGGTGATGGGGGCGCCCACACTTCCTTCCCACACAGACATCACGCCACAGACCCTCCACCAAACACTGGCCCGCAGTTATGGCACTTTTGCTGGCGCCACTGACCACAAAAATGATCGTCTTTGGAGCCCCTACCCCTTCTAGAGACACAGCTCAAAGGTGATTCACCACGAGGGGGCAGGGCCCACCACTGCCAAAGCGGCACGGTCCTGCTGCGTCTCCACCCCTCACCGGGGCGGGAACCCCAGTCACTAAGCATTCTGCAAGCAGGAGGCTCTGGGAGAAGGCGGCTGCGTGCCACAGGAGGGGCCCCTCCACGTGGGGCGCAGATGGCGCCAGACTTGGAGCCGCCTGGAGTCCCTTTCCCGAGTGATGAGCACTGAACCGCTCGGGGCCGACCCAGGGCGAACAGAATGGGGTATGGGACGGGTGATGTCCGAGGTCAGGACGCGGGAGGCCATGTCAGCACCGCGGCAAGTGGAGCGCCACCTCGGGCACCACGAGCAGCGTCTGCCTGGACAGGAGGTCCCGCCCCTCACCTGCTCGGGGTGTCCAGCGGGACGAAGTAGACGCCCTTCCGGGCACACAGGACGTAGAGCGCCTGGCGGGGGGCCAGCAGCTCCAGGTGCCACACCTGCCCGGGAAACTCGTACACCGCCTGGAGGTGGGGGACTGGAGTCAGGCCTGTTTGCACCGACGAGCCCCCTCCTCCTCGCCCCCACTCGGGGCGCCCCCGCTCACGCTCGGCTGCCGGGCCTGCCGGTCGTAGGCGTAGACGAGCTCGCTGCCGGTGGACAGGAAGACCTCCGCGCCGAGGCCCAGCACGCGCGGTCGGCCCGCCGCCAGGCGCCCAGCCGGGCAGCGGAAGCCCGCCAAGCAGTCGACCCGCGGCGCGGCGCCCGCCATCCTGTGCCCGAGGACGGAGTAGACGGCTGCACCAGGCCGCCGGGTGCACCTCCCACAGCCCGGCCTGGGGGCGCGGCGGCGGCGCTTTACGGTCGCCCACGACGCCACCTCGGCCGTAAAGCGGAGGGGCGTGGGGGCGTGGGGGCGTGGGCGTGACGGGGGTGTGTCCCTGGGATGTGTCCCGGGGACTTGGCGGGTCCGGGGTCAGGGGGTCGTGGCGTCGTCTGGAGACTAGTCCGGAGGCAGGTCCTGGCGGCTTGGCGCGGTCTGGAGGCGTGTCCCAGGGGCGTGGCGTGATCTGGGGGCGTGTCCCGCGAAGCGGCGGGACACGTGTCAGGGGCGTGGCGTATCTGGGTCCGGCCGAAAGGAACGACCTCGGCCCAAAGACCGGGGGCACGCGCCGCTTCGGAAAAGCCCCTGGTGGATACAGAAAGACTTAGCAAAGGGGTCACCTTATTTTGAGCAAGAGCACTGGCCTCCGGGCTGTGCCCGCCGCCCTCCGCGGAGGTGCCCCCCTGGCCTGGAACCGGCTCGCTCTGGGCGCGTCCTCAGAGCTGGCGGCCCGCCCCTCAAAGAGTGGACGTCTCAGTTTCCTGGGGTTTCAGGAAGCAGCTAATCGTCCCCGGAGGAGGGGAGTGAGCGCTCCCAGCCTCGGTGGGTCTCTTCCTCATTCCCAGGACAGCCTTCCCTGAGCCTGAACACGTGCTACCTGGGTGTGCTGGCTGCCGCAAAGGGTGGTCTGGCCTGGCAGTGTGGACAATAATAAGCCACAGGGAATTCAGGGTTGGGGGCAGAGGCCAGTAAAGAAAACGACAGGTCAAGCTGATGGCGGAATGAGCCTCCAGTGAGGGTGAAGCCAGGCAAGACACCTCCGCTCCTCCAGGAATTGCTCACCACTTCCCCAAAGGGTACAGCCAGCAGGGGCACAGGCTTTGGACACAGTGCTGACCCGCGGCCCAGAGCTTCCGTCCACGAAGGAAGAAAGGTCAATTCCATCACTTCAAAGTGAAAGCCCCCCCCCCCCCGCCCGGGGCGACAGCCAGCCATTGGCGGTGTCTGGAGGCTGGTTGGGACACAACCAGTGTGGCTTTTGCAGTTTGTGACTGGGCCTCTGCTCTCCAGGGCTACTCTGACGGTGTTTTGTCCTTGCTGCTGGGAAGGAAGCAGAGGGCCATGAAGCGAGACACGCTCCTCTAAGCAGATCTTATTTCCCCCCACTCACAGCACCTCTTTCTCCTTGTACTAATGTTGGGGGCAGGGTCTTCTGACCATGCTCTCTACACCAACCTGTCCTGCGCCACTAGCTCTCGCACTCCAATTCCTGCTCAGTCCTCCCGGGCTGCCTTCCACAAGGGGACACCTGCCAGGACCACTCTAGAGAAGATGATGGGGGCCTTGCCACAGCCCAGGTCAGCCATCCCGGGCAGGATGGCTTGCGGGCTCTGTTAACTCGGGTCACTCCTGCCCCCAGTCTATTCTGCTCTGGGTGACTAGTGGGCTCTCCTGGCCCTAAGCCAAACCCAATATTCTGTGAGACAAGGATCATAAACAGGGTCTATCCACACATGAAGGAGCCCTGGTGGTGCAGTGTAAATCGCTGGGCTGCTAACTGAAAGGTTGGCAGTTCAAACCTACCAGCTGCTCTGCAGAAGATAAGATGTGGCAGTCTACTTCTGTAAAGATTACGACCTCGGAAACCCTACAGGACAGTTCTACTCTGTCCTATAGGGTCGCTGTCAGAACAGACTTGATGGGTTTGGTTTTGGTTTTATCCACACATGGGCACCAGAACCCTGGCAGAGAGATGCGGGGGCAGGGCTGGCTCCCACCTGGGCTGATGGGTGGCAAGGAGCAAGTGAGCCGGTCCTCATGGTGAGGAGGGTGTGTGTGCTCCCAGCAGACCGCATTACCGACATCCAGACATATGGACGCCACATTCGGAGGCAGACAGAAGTTATCCAAGGAGCTGAACAATCACAGATCAGACGGGGAGAGAAACCACCCACAGTTCGTGGGGAGGGAGATGCCAGCTCTGTGTGGCAACGTGGCTGGACACCAGGGTGCTGCTTCCCAGGCAGCCAGGGCGGCCGACATGGAACAAGCCAGGAGGGGCAGGAGCAAGGCAGCTGGACCCGGAGTGCTGTTCTCATGCAGTGCACTCAATTGCTTGACTGGCAGGTTCCAGGGCTGTATCGCTGAGCTGCGCAGGACCCGGGATAAAGCTCCACGACCTTTATCGCCTCTCACATCGGGGTTTCTCCAACGGGCCCTGATCTGCACAGGGGGCAGGCTGCATTAGAGCCAAGGTCAGCAGTCCTAGGACGCCGCCAAACGAGGTCACAGCTCGAGTCGCACGTGCACTGCTGCTGAAGCCCCGCCTCTGGAGCAGGGCTGGACGCAGGTGCTAGGGGCCCTGGCCTGCCTCATCCCTAGGGATCTTGTCAGACACAGTGGGCAGTCTTGTTTTAAGGAACTGTTTCAGGAGCAATGAATCGCCTAGGCCAAGTGGTGCAGAAAGGTGACGCAAAGGTTGGTGGCCCAAGATTGGAGGGAGGAGGTTAGAACACTTCCTGGCCGTCAGGCAGCAAGGTGATGGCAGTTGAGGCGCACTGCTCAGAGGGAGGGGCTCTGCCGGCCTCTACCCACACCTGTGGGGCGGGAAGGCATAGGCATCCTAGATGTGGCCCTCCCTTCCCATTGCTTGTTGGGGTTCACACCTGTCTGACGATGCAGACCCAGAAGAGCCGCAGGGCTGTAGGGTGGGAGGGTGCAGAGAAGGCACCTGCAGGAGGCCAAGCCTTTGAGAGCTGACACTGCTCTGCCCCCAGTTGAGGCGGGAGAAAAGTGCCGAGGGAGCCAGACGGGAGATACCAGTGGGGAGACAGCACCTAACCTTCTGTGGTCCCCGTGCCATCAGCAGAGAACATGGATGCTGCAGGCCTTCATTTGGGAGAAACGCCATCAAGTGACCCTAAACGAGGCAGACCCCAGACCCTGGCCTGCTGATGGAGGTGCACGGCACAGAACGACAATGCAGGCATGAACATCGCTTCAGGCGCTTTTATTAGGCTCCACTGCAGGGCCAGGCCAGGCACACTGACCCAGGCCCTCTGCGTTCCTGGGAGCCCAGAGCGGCCAGGCCAGCAGGAGCACCTGGTCCCCGGAGAGCGCCCTCAGGTGGTGGGCGTGGGGCCCACCTGTTCACCAGCAGGTTCAGGAGATGGCGGGTCACACCTGTGCGGGTAGCTCGGCCCTCCACAGTGGAGCTTGCAGGACACCCCAAGGCCCTGCTGCTTAGCACTCCCCCCAGACAGTGAAGAAAAGTGCATTACTGAACAGAGAGGAGCTCAAACTCAGGCTCAGAGAACTGACAGTGCTTTTTCTTCAGCCAGAAGGCGAAAGCAAACAGGCGTGGATGTGAACGCCACAGCTTCAGGATGAGGAAAGGGCAGGAACTCGGTGGCAGGCTAGCAGAAAAGGAGCTGGCGGTGGCAGCACAGCCCCGGGGCCGAGGGGCTGCCCTCATGTCCCCGAGTGAAAATGGCGCCAGCAACTCACAGAAGTTGAGGGAGGCAGCCCCAGTCATGCTCCCACGGCTGACAAGAGCAAGGCTGTGGCCAGTGCAGGACCAGTCAGCCTGGGCAGCTGTGCTGAGCTGGACCAGCCAGGGGCCCTCGGCCACCAAGGTCAGCCACCGTGCCTACAGCTGGTTCTCACGCCAGGGGCATCTTCTCTCTAGCGTCCCGAGGAGGAAGGGTCCCAGGCTGCTGTGGAGGCCGACCGTTCTCATGGGCACAGGGCAGTGTTAAGGCAAAGAGGCATCAAGAGGCCCAGGACTCCCCTTGCGGGAGGGCTTCCCCATGGCAGAGACGGGGAACTCAGGACCACAGGAGACGAGGCGGATGCGCCTCTGGCCTCCGCCCAGCCCGGCCCACAGCCTGCAGCACAGCAACCTCCCAGCCTCCATGGTGGCCCAAGTGGCCCTGGGCTGGCTGAGCCCCGAACTCCCTCCCCAGGCCTGTCTGCTCAGTCACTGCGTCAGGCCAGGGACCAGGTGAGGACCTGGGTTGGGTGGGGTGGCATTTGGGGTAAAGGGCCTGCCGCCTGGTCCTGGGCGAGGCAGTGCCAGCCTTCGGGCGGACTCCCATGCTCTGCTCAGCCCGTGCGTGTCTGCAGCGGTCAGCGTGCAGCGTGGTGGGACGTCTCAGGCACTGAGGTTTATAGAAGGGTAACTGACGGTGGGTCCTCGTCCACACCACCCACCCTGGACACACCCCCAGAGGGACCCACTGAGGGAGGGAAGGACGTGGAAACTAGTCTCTCACTCCCCTTTTGTGCAGTTTTTATCTCAGAAAAATAAATAAAAGTCCTCTGGGCAGGAATCACCAATAACTGTTATTTCAGCTGATGTGGACTTGAAACCCCCCTAGAGGTCTGGTGGGGGGGCGGGGGTGGGCCCCTGTGTGTCCACCAGACGATGGCTGTTTGAAGAGAGGAGGGCCTCACAGGTGGGGCCTCTGCCCAGAGCAACAGGACAGGGCCAAGAGCTCCCGATCAGAAACGGGGGTTGGGGGACAAAGAGCACTAAAAGGAGGAAGGAAGGACGCTGAGGGCAGCAGCGAGCCCACCCAGCTCCAGGCGAGGCAGAGGCATCGGTCTCCCGAGCATAATGGGGTAACGTGGGGAGCTGTCAGGCTTTCCCAGGTGGGGCTGCGCTGTGATCCGTCGGCAGGTCGCCCACAGCCTGGCGGAGGCACCCTCTGGGAAGAGAAGCTCTGGGTCAGAGCCCCAGCCCCGGGCCCTCAGGTCTGCCCACTGCGGGCATCGCCGCGGGAGCACGCCGTGCGTGACCCCGGCAACTGGGGGCTGGGCGCCTGTCCTGCCGGCGGGTGGCCTTAGGTCCTGGGGAGGCTGCACATCTCGCAGTGCCCCGTGCCCGGCGGGTTCATGAAGGTGCAGTGCTGGCATGCCCACATGGCGGCGGAGGCGGCGGCGTGCACAGAGCCCCCGACGGCACCAAACTCCTGGAGGCCTGGAAGCTGCACGCCGACGGTGCCTGCGGGCGAGGGAGAGAGGGAAGTGAGTGGTCATCCCATCTGCAGGTTTCCACACATCGTCTCCCGAGAGCTCTCTGCTGCTGCTGCTTAGTACAGGGAAGGGCAGCTCTGACTGCCAGGGCGGCAGGCGGGCCCAGAACCCAACCGGCGCAGCCTGCGCGCGTGCGGCATGCCTGGTCACAGCTGTGATCTGTGACACACCACCCTGCAGCACCGACGTTGTGTGGTGTCTGCGGCCTCCAGGAGGGGCGCCGGCATCTGCAGCAGTGACCCTGTGAGCGCGGCAGGTGCACCAGAGGGTGCCGCTCCCAGGACAGACTGAGGCTGAGGGGGTGTTTCAAGACTGTCTTGGCTACTCTAGGTCCTCTGCATTTCCAGATAAATTTCAGGCCTTGTTAATTTTGACACACACACACAGGGACTGTGATCGGGACTACACTGATCCATCTGGGGACGTATCCCAGGCCACAAACACAGCGGCCCATCCTTAGTGCCGTGTGAGTGTTCCTTGGCTTCCAGTCGATCCACCCCCGGTAGTTCTCATTCTGAGAGCTTTGGTAAACGTCACGTTAATGTTAATTTCTAATACGAGTTAATAGGAATTCAATCCTACACACAACCTGAATTCCGGGAGTAAGAGACCAAAATCGACGGTGTGACAAACATGTCATAAACTGGAACAACGCGAGAGCCGATGAGCACAGGGACAGACCCAAACGCGGCGACCCTGCTGCCTGTGGGGCTCATGCTCGCCGGGGCTGGCTTTCCTTTCTACCAGGTCTGTGTGAGGGAGTGGGGCCGACGGCCTCCGGCTCCCACGGACCTCTAGCTCTAGTGCTCTGGGAAGCAGAGAAATGGTGACGCTCAGCAGCGCCCTTCAGACCTTTCCCTAAGCCAGGCCAATGCGTGTCCAGAATCACCTGCTGGACGACCCCCTCAGCCTCTCTGCATCCTCCTAGGCCGAGAGGGAGAGCTCCAACATATCAAAGCTGCTACTGTGACATTTCTGTGTGACAGACCCAGAAGGAAGACCAGGGAAGAGAGCTGATTGGGTGCCGAGCGTCTGCTGCTGGCCGGCGCCTGAGCCAGGCCTGGATGCCGGGGCAGACGACCACAGCAGGTCCTGTCCTCAAAGACACCACCCCACCTGCTCTGCTGTGAGGCAGAGGCACGGGGGCCTCACTTCAGGGCATCTGAGGAGTGTTTCAGAACATGAGAGCCTGCTGTGTCACTGTCTGGTTGTCAGAACTCAACTGTATGAAAAGAAAACTTAATAAAACGAAATGCACAGCACAAATAACACTGAAGTTCTGAAGACCGCTAAGCTTCCAGGCACTTTAGTGTCAGGAGGAAGGAAGGCCCTTCTCCACCAGGCTCCCTTAGGGCTTAGACATCCACGAGGTTCTCCCTGGCGAGCTCTGGCTCCATCACCTATCCCCCCATCTCCCCAGACTGAGAAAATGGTATAAACGGGTTTTTTTTAATAGACGTTTTTCGTATGTGTTTTCAAGGTTGTCTCGCTAGAGCCTTCTGGTACTTCTCAAAGCCACAGAAAAAAGGCTGCCACAGCGCTTGCAGGCGACGTTCTCTAGCTGACGCATCACGCGCAGGGGCACCACTGCACTGCAGCAGGATCTGAGCAGTCAGGCTCTGAGAGGCCCGAGATCCAACATCCTGCTCGGTCGGGACGCACACAGGGTTGTTTACCACCGAGAGCAGTGCCCAGGGCCGCGCGTCCGTCCCCACTGACAGTCACGAATATGCTAGCTGGGGACCGTGTGTCCGTGCCCTGCGCACCTAAGGACCAGGGACGCTGTGCCCAAGGAGTGGGGACCGTGCGTCCATGCCCCACGCACCCGAGGACCAGGGACCCTGTGCCCAAGGACTGCGGACCGTGCGTCCGTGCCCCATGCACCCGAGGACCAGGGACCCTATGCCCAAGGAGTGGGGACCGTGCGTCCGTGCCCCACGCACCTGAGGACTGGGGACCATGCGTCCGTGTCCCATGCACCCGAGGACCAGGGACCCTGTGCCCAAGGAGTGGGGACCGTGCGTCCATGCCCCACGCACCCGAGGACCAGGGACCCTGTGCCCAGGGACTGGGGACCGTGCGTCCGTGCCCCACGCACCCGAGGACCAGGGACCCTATGCCCAAGGAGTAGGGACCGTGCGTCCGTGCCCCACGCACCTGGGGACTGGGGACCATGTGTCCGTGCCCCGTGCACCCACGGACTGGGGGAAAAGGGAAGAAGGAAAGCCCAAGGGCCCAAAAGGCTCCCGCCTGCTCGGTGCACGTTCACATACAAGGCCTCTGTTTATCTGAAATGATGACTGTCACGCTGCCTCCAAGGCGCGTGTCTGGGTGTGTGCACTCGCAGATGTTCACAGAGCCGTGCACCTAAAGCTCACTGCCTGCACAGCAAGGACAGCGTCCCCCACCCCCGAGATGTCCTGCTGCCCACGAAGCCCACCAGGATGCTCGTGGCTCAGGAAGGGTGGCACTTACTGCAGAGCTGCTCGATGGTGGCCCACTGCTCGGACTTCTTCCAGGTCTGTGCCAGCTCCTCGTTCCTGGTCCTGACGGCCTCCAGCAGCAGGCTGATGCTGTCCTGCACGACACCAAACAAGAATGTCGGCCTTGCTCTGTGAACAGCTTTCCTCTTTTCCAACATCGAGGCTCATCCAGAGGGCGTTTAAAACCCTACAGGCTGTCACTATCAAACTCAAAATGCCACACACTTAGGCCAAACGCCAAGTGCTAAATTCAGCTAAAATTTAAATTCTTCACAAATAGCCCCCAAGCTGGCTGCCATGCCCTCCTCTGCCGCATAGCAACAGTGTGCTCAGTAACTCAGAAAATGAGGGCTCCCCTCATCCAGAGCTCACAGCGGCGAGGGCCCACGGACCCGGCCTCCCCGACACGCCCCTCTGGCTCTTCATCTTCTGGGTCATGTCTCGGAAAGCCGCACAGCGGACCCCGTAGGGCAGAGATGCAGAGAAATCCAATTGTTTACGCAGCAGGAGTCCGCCCCGTGAGGGGCTCTTCACCATGGTTCCCGACAGGAGCCTACACCTGGCCCAAGCTGCCTGTCTCACGGCTGCGCCTGAGCCGGGAGCAGGGCAGTGCTGCTCTCCAAGCCTAGAGGGAGGTCAGGGACAGCGGGAGCTGTGGGTGACTGTCAGAAATGGGTGAGTCTTACTAGATACGGACATGAGAGCGGTCTGTTAGGAGCTGCCTTTGTTCCGTCTCTTCCATCACCTCTGATGGCTCAGAGAGAATGTGCTCCCCTCTCTGGCCTGAGTGGGAGGGCACCCCGACACAGTGGGTCCCATTACCCTGTGGCCCTGCGAGCAGCTGCTGTCACTAAAACACTTGCCTTTTTCTCCCTCTGGTGCGTCCTACACATGCCAACTGTGTGGCGTGCACCTGGCCGCCGGCCAGGCCTCGGGCCAGGCAATAAAGCTGATGCTGCCTCGGGAGCAGACAGGATTGCACTGTTCCCTGCTAGAGGACACACCTGAACCCCTGCTCCTGGAGGTCCCTGGATGGTGACTGTGACAGACAGACACCGTCCCACATCACAAAGGGTGAAAACACCAAAGGCAGACAAACATCTCTTCCCACTGCAAGCCCCTGGCAAGGAGAGCTGGGCCAGACGCTCTCTGTGCCAGACCCAGGAGTGGGAGACACCTGTGGAGCCAAGTGTGACCCAGCCCCAGACCCACCTGCTGCCTGGGGAAAGGAAGCCAGACAAAGGCGCCATCCCCCCAGCCACCCTGGCCACAGCACCACGCCAGGGCTGCGGACTCGCTCTGGCCCTACCTGCAGGGGCATGACCTCATTGGTGACCAGGAAGAGCAGGAGGTGGAAGTCCGAGATGATGTCCAGGAACACAGATGAGGTATTCTGGGACAGGTAGGTGGCCAGACTGTGGAAGTCCTGACACACACGGCGGAGGGAAGGAAACCCGTCAGTCCCTCTGCAGACCCCTAGTGCCACACCCAGAAAAGGGGCTCTCCCCCAGGACAAACCCCACCCTCTCCTTCTGGGACCCTGGAGATGGAGCCAAGAGACAGAGGAACCAGCAGCTGCAGAAGCCCCCAAGGAAGGCGCTCTGGGTGGCTCGCAGTACCCAGGCGTGTGTGAAGCTGGCCCACGTGAGAGGCCATCCAAACAGGCGGAAACGTCCCTTTTTCTTTCCCTCTGAGACGCTACCTCTAGGAGGGTGTGGGGGTGGGAAGGGCCCACTTCAGGACAGGAGGAGACCCCGGGCAGCTCGAGGGGGAGAGGAGGAAGTCTGCGTGATGGGTGGGGGTCGGGGGGGGACATTATGCAACACAAAACCAGGAATGCTACCTAGACAGGCCCCGGCTGGTGTGCGGGCAAAGGGACCCAGGTGTCAGAGGGGGTGTAAACACGCCACCCCTTCAAGGAAAACCTTCTCGCAGGTGTTCCAAACACACCACCTCCTGGAATACTCGTCAGACTACACAACATGCGCAGACAGCAGAGTGACCCCGGTGGGGTCTGAAGGCGGCCGCGCTCCACGAGCAGCTCAGCGGCATGCTCCACAGCAGCGCCCAGGTGGCCCAGGAGTGCAGAGGGGGAAGGGGCCGATGAAACCGTGAGGAACGACCCGCTCCACAGACACACACACGATACAAAGGTTGCTGGGGGAGGCCACAAAACCACCAGCCTGTTCTGGAGAAGCCAGGGGAGAGTGGTGCTCTGGTACCCCCAGGGGGGGCACACAAGACCTGCCCCTGCGGGGAGCCGTCACCCACAGCAAGGCGTCACAGTGATCAACTGTGCCTGAGGAAGGGGCCTCATGGGGCTTTGTCACGGGGAGGAATAAGGGAGTTTGAAAGCTTGGTACTTTCTGGACAAACAGTACTGACCCTCAATACACCATCCCTGGCCCCTTTAAACTATGTGTCTAAAAACAAAGGGCTTACCTGCGTCTCGCCCAACACGTCCCGGTTTTCGATGGGAAATGGATTTTGCGAAATAGAAAAAGTGTGGACCGGGTCCTTGGGGAACGTTGTCGTGATCTGAGGACAGAAACACAGGCCAGGGTGAGCAGTGCTGCACGTGGGCGCTGGCCCTCGACTCCTGCAGGCAGCCCCCGGCCTGGCACTGGGAAAGCACTCACGGCAGCTCTGCGTCCAAGGGGAGTCATCCCCATGTGAAAATTGAAACTGGGAAGTAAAAAAAAATTGAAACCTGAGAAGCAAAATAAAGCACCTGGAAACTGCACCACATCTGTGCAGTCCCTGGCTGGGATCCGCGGCCCCTGCTGTCAGGGAGCAGCCCCCTGACGGGCCTTCCCTGGCAGCTGCTCCCCTCCCCTGGCCCCTCTGTCCGAGCCATGGGGCCAAGGCAGGAGGGGCCCTGCAGGCAAACCCTGTAGGGTTTGAGGTCACAAACGGCGCCCCAGCCAGTCCGCGTCCTGTCCTCTCCCGGAGAATCACATCCTGGAGTCATACGACAGACTGGAGAGGAGCACTGCCGTTAAGGGCAGCCCGCATCCTTCCTCAGGCTCCACCCCGCCTTCCTAACGACAGAGGGCATCCTAAACCCGCCGTCTACCACAGAGGCTGTGGACACAGGCAAGGTGCGGAGTCCACACACACATTCCGCCACCTCTGGCCTGACACAGCTTTTCCTCTGCAGCATGACACCCTGTGGTGCAGACACACCTCGTCCCGATTCAGGGCCACTATTCTGGTTCCTTTGGGACTATTTCTGAAGAATGGCAATGCTGCCCTGCTGTTTTCCGCATCAGTAGAGGCAGCGAGCCGTTTCCAGGCTAGCTGGCCAGGATTCCACCGTGACCGTGCCAGGCGCCGACTCGTCGCCAACCCAAGCCAGGCTGGTCACGACTGGTGGGACTGTGGGGCCGTGGTGGTGAAGGGTGAGCCTCGGGGCCGCCGTCAGCTCCTGTTGGCAGACTAGCCTTTCTCATCTGCACAGCAGAGGGGATCAGAAGCCTGTGCCCTGGGGGTGGAGTGAGGACTGTGGCGCGGCGCGCTGCAGAGAGCAGGGTCTGTGACCAGGAGACAAAGCCTGGGCGGCGCGGGTCCTTGTGCGGGAAGGTACACGGTACACAGTACATTGGCAGCAAGAGAGGATGTTCCAGGCATGGAACATCCCCAGAGAGACACAGGTCAACATCACAGCCGCGCACAGACGTCTACCCCTCCCTCGACAAGCTGCCTTGTGGTCAGGGAGCCGATGCCTCGCGGATGGACGCTGGCTTGGACCTTCCCCTGCCCAACACCCCAGTCTTGAGGCTCCTGAGCCTCCGCCGGCCCGGGTGCAGACTGACCCATGGCCTCCGAGGGGGTGAGGAGCAGACACGCTTACAGGGCACCTGTCTCACGCCCCAGAAACAGAGGGCTGGGGAGGCTGCGGGGAGAGACCTTTGAAGGCGGGTTTACGATCAGGCCAACTCCTCCTAAGTGTGTGTTCCATCAATCTGTTCTCATCTTAATTACACCCTGGGCAGTCTACAAACCAGATGCCTTTACGGCCTAGGTAATAAATACATTCTCTGGAGCCGTCGGCTGGAATGGAAGGTCGACGGGCTCAGCTCGCAGGGGCCCACTGTTCCAAAGGCAATGATATTTTACGGCCTGGATCACATGCCCACCCTGAGTTCACACGGCACCTGGACGGAGACCGGGCACGGCCGCGGTGCAGGAAATGGGCTGCCCACGAGGGTCCGCACTCCCGGTCCCCTGGACAGTGCCCCGTGGCTCTTGCTCTGGCAGTAACCCCCGCCCGTGGGTTGGCAGCTAGTCTGAGTCCCCACGGGCCACGTGTACGTAACCATGATATTCCCCCAGAACGATCCGAGACGCGCAGAGCCTGCCAGCGGGGCCAGACGCCTTTGCGGCTCCTGGAGTTCCATCAGGGAGACGCCGGGGCCTGCCCTCGTCACACCCTGCCCGTGGCCGCTGGGCCGGGCCAGGGCAGCACTGGGCACACGCTGGTGCAGGCAGGCTGGGTGAGACTGCTCAGGACGCTCGCAGGGACACGTTACCAGAGCCCCTGGGCTCCTCCCTGCCTGTGGGGGCAGATGGTTCTTGGTTCGCTGGCACACTTGGATGGAGAACGTGAACCCCTCGTTGTCTTCAAGGAAATAAAAACCTGAAGCTAAAAGGGAAGCCCTGAACACCGTGAGCCCCTGAGGACACTGGGAGCTTGAGGACCCAACGGACACTGCCCGGGGCCTGCTTGGTCCAGCCCCGCAGCACCACTCACGTCGATGATCAGGTACTCCACAGGCAGGGGGCGCGCCAGCTGCGTGATCTCGTTGCCAAACTTGTCGATATCCTGGAGTGGGAAACAAGCCCAGGTTAGCGCCATCGGCCAAAGCCCCCGGCCCCATCACGGTCTTCCCTTCACACACCGGTCTCACCTTTGAAATAACTGCAACTCTCGGTAAACTGCACAAAAAGCAGAAAGGAAAATGTGCAGACCTTTCCAACAAGTTGGAGCACTTTATGAGGGCTGCAACATCAGGAAGCAGCGTGCTCCTGGCTAATGGGGGTCTCCACTGGGACAACACAATAAAGCCGCTCCCTCCCGCCAGCCCCAGCCAGCACTAAAGCTCCATCTGTGAGATGGCAAGATGGATGCCTCCCTCCAGTCAGAGCGCCCCGCCTGTCCTTTACAAGCCCTTTCTTTAAACCTCACAGGTCTGAGCACAAACTCTTAAACATCTTATTCACACCTCTGAAGCAAGACTTTTTGGAGACATCATACTTGTATGTTAACAACATAAACACACACACGAGTACACACACAAGCACAGAGTACACACACGAGTACACACACACACAAATACATGGACACAGAAACCACCACTAATCTGTCAAAGTCTCAACTTGTTTAGCTTTGTCAGATGCATGGAACATAAAGTTTAATTACAGAGAAAAACGGCCAGCATATGTTCATTAATCATAAGATGACAATTAGATCTGATTTACATCAAACATGCTGAGTTCAAACAGAGCTCTAGAAATAAATGCTTAAGAACCGATGCTTTTCATTAAGGATTCTGCAACCGGGGTCATGTTTTCTATCTAAATTATCATTTAACGTTATATCAATCGTTCACTGCGTCATATATGAATTACACATCCAAAATCCCCAATTACAGGGGCTCACATAAGAATTTACATTTATTAAAGCTCTCGGGACCAAAGCGGGTGCCGCACAGACCTTCCTGGGTGCACAGGGTGACGAGTGCCACCCTCAACGCACCAGCACCACCCTGGGGACGCCGGGTGCTGTCTCAGGCCGTCACCGCAAACTGCTCCCCAGCCAACCAGGCGGCCATCCTCATGGGAGGTGCACAGGCCCCGTCCGGCCTGGTCTGAAGCACTCTCGATTCCTCCACACCCCCTCCTGCTTCCTCTCACACCTGGAGCTGCCTCCCAGGAAGCAGCCCCATGTGAACACAGGAACACCAGCTTTGGGCTCTGTCTCCATTCCAGTCAGCGTCCCCATCCCTCGACACAGCCTGGTGCCCTCCGCCTCCCTCGGAAGCTGAGACTCTTTCTGGCCAGTGCAGGTGAGCCGCCCACCCTCCGCGCACACGCCGCCCTGTGGTGGGCAGCACGGTGGGCTTCCGCTCTCGGGCCCCACCCTTCCACAGGAGCAGCTGAGAAACAGGGCCTTGTGAGTGGGATCCTGGGCCCCAGAAGAGGCAGCTTACAGATTGAGGAGATGGAGTAGGAGGCAGGAATCAAAGCCAATCAAACCAAGTCACCATTTCCAAAAATACACTCTTGCCCATACATGAAATAACCTGCAACAACTCACACATAATTAGCCCATCTGGAATTCATCTTCAAACCTAATTAAGCTCTGATATGCAGAAATATTTTTCCAGCACCTGTTCGCAGTGATCTTCCCCTCTCAGGACTTTCTTGTTAAATGCCCCCTCTTTGTGGCGGGCTATTCTCTTTCAAATTTAACTACCCCACTGCAGCATCTCTGCTCTGCAAGAAAATAAAGGTGCTGCACCCCCCTCTCCTCCCTGAGGGAGAAACAGGTAATTTCCATCTCCCCCCACCACGCCTTCACTCAGACGCTTTTGCCAGCCAATAGTGAGCCTTGCACACAGTTTTAAGAGACAATTACTTTTTATGGGCCTCGGCAAATGTCAGGTGGACGACGCCAGGAGGGAGACATCTTAATTCTAAGTCTCGCAGCTGTCAAAGTGTCAGCAGTTCTATCCCCACCTGGAGCAAGGAGCTGGGGGATGGGGGGAAAAAGCCGCGGTCCCCAACACCCGCTGCCCTGCCACGGGCTACATGGGGATGCAGTGGCCACAGCCCTGACATCTGGGAGAAACCCAAGTGCCTCCAGCTCTGTGAGCTCCAGAGCACACTGAATCGACTGGACAGCCCACCTTGCTTACGAACGTTGAACAAAACCCCTAAGTGCTGCTTTTCCCCCAGAGAACTGTCCAGATGGACACCAAGGGGCACCGATCTGAGACACCACAGGACAAAACCAAGTTTCCTGAAGAATGACCGTCAGGAACAGTCCAGTCAGCAAGCACCCTCACTGTGCCTGGCTCCACAACAGGTCAGCAGCTGACAGCTCCTGGACGCTTGCTGCCTGCCTGGCCCAGGCTAGGGGCTGTGTGCAGAAGTCAGTGGCACTGTCACAGCCCCAGTTTAGGGTGAGAAAATGAAGGGTTAAGATTCGTCACCACCCCAAGATCTAGCAGCTGGAAAAGACAGGGGGCCGACAAGAAACCACGTCTGTCTAAATTCAAAATACAAGACTCTCCTCAACCCAGACAGAGCCAGGTGCCGCAGGGCCAAGGGCACCTGAGATCGGGTCCAGGCTCAAACCAGGCTGCCGACACGTGGAGCAGGGCGCCACCTCCCATGCAAGAGAAGGAACAAAAACCAAGCTGGGGTTTAAGCAGCTGGAGATTTCGAGTGCCACAAAATCCTTATTCCTAAACTGAGATTATGCAAATATGTCGCTCATGATCTCTCCTCTGTGGGCAATTTCTTGATTATCTAATCAATTTCCTGAATGATGCTGGAAGCAAACAAAATCTCCCAGGGTTTAAAACATTTGCTTTAAAAACCACATGGTATAGGTCTCGCCCTAACATACAAAGATGTACTGTGAAGAGGACGCAGTCGGAAGGACCCAAGAGCAGGCCGGCAGACATGTGGCACATGGAGAAGTCCAGAAGGAGACAAGGTCACCTGAGTGGGTGTAAGTGGGGTGCTGGGTCAGCAGGACAAACACCTGAGGGCAATGGAACTGGATCCCACCTGGACCAAGGTGCTTGACGATGGATAAGGGAGCAGGGGCCACGGAGGAGGAAAGCGGCGAGAAGGGACCGTTGGTGAGCACACAGCTTCCAGGCACAGAATTACTCCACGCACGATGACAAAGGCAGACACGACAGTGAAAAAAGACTACGGCGTTTCAAAACTAGAAAATACTTCAGCTTCTTCGTAGGAAATTATCGACAAAATGAAAAAAACTGGCATGTGTTTGCAACATGTGACAAAAGGTTAATAGACATATACCTGACAAATCTATGCAAAAGTGGGGAATCACCTTAAAAAATTTCTGAGCGTGAACAGGCGACTCACAATGAAAGCAAACACACAAGAACATCCCCGTAACTAGAGGAGACCAAGATGCCTCTCGGTCCTGCTCGTTTCACAAGCAACAAATGACAGGTGCTGCTGTGCAGGACAGGGTCTGCCCTGCCACCCTCCTGGAGGATGCTCGGGAGAACACATCAGAACTTTGATAAAGTCAGTTCGGATCTGGGAATTTATTCCAAGCTGCTGAGAACACCCGGGAAGAATGTGCGGCATGGCCACATGGCACCGCTCAAGTGCAGGGGCCGAAGCCCTGTGGAGCATAGTCCTGCCCTGATACACACACGGGGTCACCACGGTAGAAGTCCACCTGATGCCCACGGGTTACTCCCTCCCACAGACGGCTCCTCTCAGCAGCATCATGCTCTCCTCTCCCACAGCCTCGTGTCCAGGCCCCCACAACCTGGGGCTGCAGGTTCAATGGCCACGGGTCAGCACCCTATGGATTCACCAGCACCTGTGACAGAGTGACACCTCCTCCTGGACCCTGCGGGGGGGCCCCTCCTGACTCTCGGGCTGCCCGTTTCCAGGCCCCGCTGCCCTCCCGCCCCAGGATGGAGGCCCCAGGCATGGCCTCATCCCCAGAGGGTTGCCTCCAGCCTGCTGGCTCTGAGCTCTATCTCACCCGTCCGGGACCTCCCACCGCACTCCACCCTTATCTACCCAGCAGCCCGGTCAGCTCCCACCAGAGAAATGCAGGCGCCCACCATGCCCGGAGCTGCAGCTACGCTCTACCACAGCCCCCAGCTCACCTGACGGCGCGGCAGTCTCCCGGCTGCCCGGGTTGAACACCGTGGCGCCATCTTCCACGCCTTCTCTTGTGCTCACATGGCAAGTTCAACCTCTCCGGAAGCCCTGCTGGCTCCAGCCTTCAAACAGATCCGGAACCTACCACCTAGCACCACCTCTACTGCTCACTCCCCAGGGCCACGGCAGCAGTGCCCGACCCTGTGATAACTACTGTCATTACTACCCCCACCCCGTCTTCCTCGTCTGCTCTCAGCTCAGCAGCCAGTGTGGCCATGTAAACACCTGAGTCGGGGCCTTCTGCTCTGCTCAGCACCTTTGCAGAATGCCCACCTCACCCACAGTGGGCGGGCTGCACGGTTCTACAGGACAGAGCTTCAGCAGGTGCTTCCAACATGTTCCTGTCAAGCCCTGACACTGGGAAGGAGGAGCAGGAGGCTGCGCTCTTTTGTACCAAGAACACAGAGGGGCCAGAACAGTTTCCATCTTATTGAGTCTCTGGTCAATGTTGAACATCTACAGAACCAGCCGGAAGCCTGAGCCTGAGGACGCTCGGCGAGCGCGCAGCCTGAGCCTGAGGACACTCCCAGAGTGCACATCCACGAGGAAGCAGCACCTTGGCCGAGGCGCCGCCAGAGCTCGGCTGACCCGAACTAGCCGCGAGGGGTCGGCTGAGTCCACAGAGGGTGGTGCAGGGGATCTGGATGAGGCGGCACTGCATTTTACTGCCACAGGAGTGGTCCTTGAAGCAGAGCAGCCCAGCACTTAAAGGGCAAGTGGAAGCTGCAAGCACGTTACCCACCTACACCTGCGAGTCTAGAACTCAGGGCAGAGCGCGTCATCAGCGCACTGAACTGCATTTTCCCGTCTGTGGAACGCTAACTTTACTACTTTTAAAGGAAAACTCAGAAGTAAGTTTAACACCACACTCTGGAG